TCAACATTATGCTTAATTTTTAATAGAGATTTTATACCTGAGTACCTAATCCATACAGTTGAAGGTTTCATTTTATGTTGTAATTCTTCAAAATATACTATCAAAACATTTTCTGAGAAGGACGATGTGTTTTTGGTGTTTCCAATCCATAAATTGTCCATATAATTTTTGGCAAATTTTCTTGGACTTGTCCGGTAGTATATTATTACCTGCAGTTGTCGCCTTCTCTGTAATTTCTGGAGGTGTTAGTGAAAATTCTTCGTTATCACTCAATATTTCCATAATAATGCCTTATCCCAAACATTAGGTAACTTTTAATAACAATTCGAAGTATTTTTTTTCATGAAATTATTGTTTTTCGCTAAATTACCATGGAAAAGCTATAAACAGAGTGCTGTCATCATTCAAAAAAAAATAATTCAAAATTTCTTAACTGGTGGCGCCATCTATTGACAATGTATAATAATGAAAAAAGGTAAAATTCTTCCTTATCACTCATTATTTTCATAATAATTATTCTTTGTCCCAAACTTTAGGTAACTTTCAAACAATTCGAAGTCTTTTTTATAGTTATCAAAATAATTGTTTTACGCAAAATTACCGTTAAAAATGTTTAATATCTCAACTAGTGCTGCCATCTATCAACATTGTATAATATTAAAAATGAGTATTATAATGAAAATCTGTATCGTAATGAAGTTCATTATAATACAGATTTTAATCGTTTAATAGCGTATTATGAAATGTCAGTAGAAAAAATACTTAACACTATATCACTTCTTTAATGTTATAATATTCGATTTGTATTGTCTAAATTTTTTCTGCGAGAATACAATCTGGCTACACTGCAGCCTACGAGTTGCGCGCGCATGTCATCTTTTATTGCTTTTTAACTTGTATTTATTATAATTAAGCTCTCTTTTTCTAATCATTCGAGATAGGTCTATTGCATCTAATTCTGTTTGGCACAAACGACATTGTACTATGTTATTTAAATGTGCACTTCAAATACATTTTTACCCCACACTGATGTTAATTTCAAATTAATGTAAAATGTAATTTGACTTTATACCCATTAAGCTCAATAACTAATAATTCTTTGAAGCAGGGATTTAATAAAGGAAACTTGTAGAAAATTGCTGTTTACTTAGTATGGCGTTTAGGCCTTTAGTAGGTACTAGGTTCTATCTTGTTACAGAAATTATGGATAAAAAATACTGCTCACAAGGCCGGAAATTAATGAAATTACTATAGAAGAAACACGGAATAAAGGAGAATAAAAAAATGGCCCATTTTTATTGCATGATTTTTGGCATAAACGACAAAAATTTTTGTTTTGTGTTTTAAATTGTTTTGGCACAAATCTTAACCGCCATTTCACCTTCTGGATAATATCTATTTGACACAAACGCCTTTGGTTACCTGACATAAACCAATTTTAAGCGAATAACCAAACGAGATTGGTTTTTACCATTTCGGATTGGTATTTACCACAACATTTATGCGACTTTGGTTTTTCTTTTGGTTATGACTCCGTGACGTCATGGATCAGCTGTAAAATGTCATACTTATCACCGCAAAATTGCGGTTTTAAAAAGCCAATTTTAAGCGAATAACCACAATTTTGTGGTTTTAACCGCGGTTACGCTTTGGTTCAAGATGACAGATCACTTGATGACGTCATTCCATTGTATTCGCTTAAACGCGTTTGGTATTAACCGCGGTTACCCCTGTTGTGTTATTGCTATTTGTTTATATTTTGAATTTTGATTTCATGCTGGCCGGAAAATGGAAAAGAGGAGAGAACTTGCCTTTTTATTTGGAGATGTGTTTTTTTTGAAGACTACAGTGCGGAAATAATTGATTTGTTAGGAAATCTACCAATTTGTTGCATTTTTTTTAAAAAAAGGAAAGACATGAGACCGAAAATCAATTGAAACAGATAATACTTGCTATTAAGAGTAAATTAGCTGTTTCTAAAAGCCGGTATTTCAAATGTAATCTTAAAATCAAGATTTACCAAAGGTATCCTTAACGTTAAGGTGAACTTGAAATCAGTTCATTCAGGTAACTTAAGATAAGCTTAAGATCCACCTTGAATTAGGGGAACTTTTATACTTTGATATACGGTGAAACTTGTATTAAAGATGACTTAACGTTATTTTAACGTGACATTGAAATACCGACCCAGTCTCCAGTCTCCAACCTGTATTTGGTAATCCGCACCTTCATGACTTTTGCTTAGGGAAGTATCCATAATTTCTGGCCCTTTTTTTACTTCATAATACCAAACAAACTGCTAAAAAAAATAAACAACTTGCTAAAAACCCGCCAAAAATGCAATGGCAACAATTCAAATAATAACCGCAAAATAAAAACCACTCCCGAGCTGGGTTAAAACCGCAATTTTGCGGTGATAAGTATGACATTTTACAGCTGATCCATGACGTCACGGAGTCATAACCAAAAGAAAAACCAAAGTCGCATAAATGTTGTGGTAAATACCAATCCGAAATGGTAAAAACCAATCTCGTTTGGTTATTCGCTTAAAATTGGCTATTATGGATTTATTTAAAATAGGTACTATGTTATTTCAAATATGTAATAGTTGAAATTTTAGACAACAAAACCCAGATTAAATATCAATACCTACCATGGTGAAAAAAAGGTTTAAAAAAATCCAAAATTATGGTTCTGGGCGGTTTTTTGTCTCTCCTGTAAAATTTGCTAAATGGCGTTTCTGCCGTTCTGCCTTGAAGCCATCGAACTATTTCTGAGTTAAGATTATATTGTAATATAAAAAACATGTTCTGTTGTATTTTTTGACCCAAAATTATTCAAAAACGACCCTAATTTTGATAAAATCGATCCACAACTAAAAATTATAATTTCTTGGTCCGCCATTTTGCGAATGGGCACTATCTTGCTCCTTCACTGGCCCGGTATAAGTATCAAAAAAATGAGCAACTAACGAAAAAATAAACTTTAGGCCAAGAGAAGTCGAATGGCGCAAACCGCAGGTGGCTAGCATACTTGGATCAAAAGTTATGAGTATTTGCAATGGGTCACTCTCGGCTGGGACACCCTGTATTATTCAAATTTAAATCACTTAATTATATACTTTCTCACATTTTCCGATCAAAAATTATTCGAAAACGACCCCAATTTTGCTGAAATCGATTCACAATTACCAATTTCAACCTCTTGATAGCCGCCATTTTGCAAATGGTCGCCATCTTGCTCCTGTGGGTCCGACAAGGGGGTCATGCGGCCCATGCGGGTCAAATCGCTTATAATTGTAAAAAAATCATCTGTACGAAATTTCATGCTTTTATCACAGTTTGCAAGATTCTGCCCATTTTTTTGATTAACCGCCCCGACTATGAGAAAAACACTGGACCCAGCTGTGAGAAGAACGACTCTTATCGTTGATGATAAATGGACTACCAAACAAAGAGCAGATCAAAAAGCAGACCAGGACATCGGGCAACTTCTACATCCTAAAGAAAATCATGAATGTAGGCCAGAATGGAGAGAAGTGTCGAACAAGAGTTTGACTTACAAGGCTTTGTATATGAATATTCGGTGGATCTTAAAATGTTTATAAGCTTTGAAGTAGGTACCTATATACTTACCTGATTTATTTATTCCAGTTGCAACCGCATTTCAAGTATATGTGAATATTCTCCAAATAAAGAGAAAGTTATTTGTCTGATGTCTCCCTAATATGGATATCATTAGAAGGAAGCTATTGGCTAAAATTAAAACTTATCCTACAATCAAAGAATATTATCAAATGGAATCTGTACCTACTATTTTTCCTTGGTAACAACAAAAATCAAATCACTCGAGCATCTGCAAAACCCAAAAGATCTAAGGCCTTTGGAGTAAATGCTGGCTCATTATAAATGAGCCAGAAATTCTTGCAAGAAAACTAACGATTAAAACTACTAAAAAAATCAATGGATGTTAGGAGATTAGACTTCTGTAGAGAACCAAGAACTAGGTCTAGGAGAGAGCTTCACTATGGTAATTTAGAGATTGAATTGTTTGCAAAAGAAAAAATCTGAATAATAGAAATTTGATAACAAATGGAACAGCTCCAGATCTGCTACAACCCCTTAGAGATATTTCAATAAAATTTCGTCAAGAAAAGTAGTAGCATTTTGTTTGAACATAAGAGAAATGTTCCACGAAGTTAAAATTATAGAATATCCAAATATAACATGGCTTATGATACCTATGAAATATAACTAATGATTTTCGGAGCAACTTGTTCATCTGCTTGTGCCCAGTTCAGCAAAAATCTTACTGTCAAGGTACATATTATATACCAAGGTCCCAGATTCCCAGATATTTTAGACGCCATTATTTAAAAACACTAAGTTGACGATTATCTATAGAATCTGTAGACTATAGATAAAGAAGCTTCAAACAAAATAATAGAAATCAGAAATATAGAAAAAAAAATGGCGGCTACGATATTGTTAATTTGATTTTTGATATAACGAGACCTGGGATTATTCACTTGTCTTAAGATTCGTGAAGTGCATTTAGAAGCTGCAAATTCATTAACTAGATTCGACTAAATGGTCGTTACAAGAAGAGGAAAGCAAGCGGACAATGGTACAAATTCAGGTATCGCAGACGAAGGGTTAAAGGAAGCTGTGAAAAAATTAAAACATGATCAAATCAAAGACGTTTTGTTAGAATCTGGAACAAGATGGACATTTTCACCTTTAGCATCTCCGCGCATAGCTGAGTTGCTGAAATAAGTTAGACGTCTCACTTAAAACTACGTTCAATTTGCGATTCAAAGATGAGCTTATTTTTACTGTATTTGTTGATACTGAAAATATAGAAAATCTGTAAAGCTTGGATGTTTGCTTAGATGTTTGTATGCCAAAATATGGTCCCTGAAATAAAGAAAGAGAGATTGCTGTTTAAGTCTTGCTTTAAGGTCAGTTCATGCGGATAAGGAAAAATAATGGAACAAGAAATGTTGAATAATACTAATTTATTAGAACCATATTATTCTAAAAATAAGAACTACATCTCCAATAAAAATTATATGTAACCACATAATTATTAATATGAATGAAACAAACAAGAAATACTTATATAAAAAAAAATCATTTTTCAAAAATAAAGCCTTCATTTTTCTCACTACATGCATCATCATCAGTTTAATACCTAATAACTATTTACAAAACAGATGGGTGAATATAGGAAGCCCTATTCACAACCAGTAAAGACTTCTATCATCTCTTCTCACTTGAAGCATTGTAAGGCGACGATAAACCTTGAGCGCTGGACCAAGCATTAAATTCAAGTGAGTCAACACATCAATCCTTCTCAAAAGAAGTAAGCTACGTCCATCAATTTCCTAAAAAAAAAAAATATTTCAAGGTAAAATAACTTGATAAAATAATGAAATCAACAAACCTGATCCTTGAAAACTCTAGCTTCCTCTTCTTTAAGAAATTGCCTAAAGTACTGATAAACCTCATCAGGTGTCCAATTTGTGGCATCTGGTATAGACGGATCTATCTCAGGACCTGGAGTTCGAATAAGATTGTCTGGAGTTGTACTTCCACTGCGCATATCATCAGAACTTTCGTTTTCATCATCTGAATCCTTGTCGCTGCCTGAATCCTTGTCGCTGCCCGAATCCTTGTCGCTGCCTGAATCAGACTGCGACTCTTTCATGGAAGATTGTGATTCACGATTCGAACTTGATAATGGAGGTGAGGGACTTCTTTGTGGACTATTGTAGGGCGAAGAGGATCCAGATTCTAATTTTGATGGGAAACTTGGTGGCACATCATTTTCGTTGCCTGCACATGAAAATTTAATTCAAAAAAAACTATGTGACATGCTGATATTGCAAAACAATATGGAAGAATTAGCCTGAATCAGAACAGGTTATATTTTTTTGTAGTCAAAAATTACTATTAAATCATTGGACAAGATGTCATGTAGGTACAAAATATGCAACAAGTCCGTTTATTACGTATTACTTTTCAGATAAGGAGCCTACAGATTGGAACTAATTCAAGTATAACAATTTGTAATCTGCTAAATGAAAGATTTAAAGGATTTTTTGCCAGCTCAGATAGACTGGCCTAGAGACTGTTTCTGTAGTTTCCATTCATTAATTTCTGCTTTTGAAAATTTTATCTTGTCCTCGAAAATCTTTCAGGTATTCAAGGTAAAGATGCAGTTTACAGGAGAGAATAGCATACAGTAATAGGATAAGTTGAAAAATTCCCGTCACTCCTGAAGACTTCTATTAAGTCTATTTATATATCGGAATTGTTAACTATATATAATTTTAGAAAAAGTTTTAAGCCCAGAGAGCTATTGAAGTATTTGTGGGTAGAAGATCCAAACTTAGTCAAGTAAAATATCGATAGAGTTTGTATTTGCAAACCAATTAGATCCTACATAGAAAGAAACCTGCTTACCACTCGCTTTGGTAATATTTTTTTCGAAGTCAAAAGACTCGCTAATATTAGCTTGAAAATCATCGGGTTTCATTTCTTCAGTTGCTTGACAATAAACGCACAACCATTTTTGTCCTTTCTCAATTTTGTCAGTGATTTCAGGTTGGTGGCAAGTGGCATGGTAGGCATCAGCACACACAGCACACTCAATCAAATCTCCCTAATACAAAAGAAAAATTACAAATACGGTTATTGTTACGTTATCAAACTACTTACTGCGTTTGATGTTTCAAAACAATTTCGACAAGTTTTGCAATGAGGACACCGCCAAGTATAATTTGGATTCAAGTTATCGACAACCATATCATCATTCTTGAGGCAACCATAATGAGCTAAAAGTGTATTTATTTTCAATTAACTAGTGGCTTTTAATAGTGAAAACAGCTTGATGATAAGGATACTAAAACATTACCTTTATAGCTGCATTCTTCACAGGCTACCATCCTATCATCTGGACCCTTTTTACTCTGAGTGAAACATATACCGCACACTCCGCCATGATCTTTGGATAATCCTGGGGAATCTGCTTTCGAATCGGAGTCATTATCTTTAGAAGGTTCTAAGGAATTCTGTCTGGGCTCATCATCTTTGGAAGGTTCTGGGGAATCGGGTCTGGAGAGTTTAACGCGTTTTGTTTTTTTAATAAAAGTCGTTTTGATGGTTGGTTTGCCACGTTTTTTTGGAATGTGTGAGTCGGACGGATCAAATACCTTTTTAGCTTTCTGTAAAGAATATGTTCATATTATATTTTGAAAAATCAGGAATAGAAGTTCTATTCTTATAGGATGTTTATTTTTTATATGTATATGAAGGCATATAAAATTTAAAATAAATAAAATAAAAATACACACCTTGCGTCGTCCAGAACGTTGGTTTCCGACCTCAGAAGGTTTCTCATCATCGCCAGAAGCCATATTAACATCTTCATTCTTATCAACTACAACTTGCATCTTGGCAATCATCTTCTTTTTCGGTTTGACCTGAGTAGCTCTTTGCACTTTGGCAGTCATCTTTTTTGGTTTAACCTGAGTAGCTCTTTGCACGGTGGCAATCGTCTTCTTTTTTGGTTTAACTTGAGTAGCTCCTTGCATGTTGGCAATCATCTTCTTTTTTGGTTTGACCTGAGCAGCTCCTTGCATGTTGGCCATCATCTTCTTTTTCGGTTTGACCTGAGCAGCTCCTGGGTTAGCTTGAGCGAGTTCATTGTTACTTGCAGCCTTGATTCGTTGATTTTTGCGAACAGGTTTAGGTTTTTCATCGCACGGACCCAGAAGAAAGTTACCATTATCCAATTTAACCAAGTTTCCTCTCTGGACTTCTTCAACTAGTAAAAGGGCTGCGTGTCTTCTTGTATAGGTCACGTTCTCCCTTGATAAAATCTTTTCCATGATTTCTTGAGGTGGTACCCCGTTTTCCAAATAATCTGGTTCTTCGACTACAAGCTCCCCAAACACATTTGTTAACAATTCCATAAAGACTCTGTTAATTGCTAGTTTGCTTAGAACATGCATGTTCTGGTGATAAGACTGCTGTGAGTTGCGCTTACGGCTTTCTGAATAGGCCTTTTTTTTAGCAGCATTTCTGTAGCTGATATTGCCCTTGTACTCGACCCTTAGGACTATATTATTCTTGACGCACCAGTCCAGACCGGCCTTAGCTTCGGCAGAACCCACCTGGTATCGTCTAAACAAAAAATTAGAGATCCTGGTGATATCTGGTCGTGCTTTTCGGTGTCGCAGCACGTCGATCGCCTCTAGAATTCTCTCACGAATTAGTGAGAACGGTTCATCCATTTTGAATTCTGGAAAATGGAAATTTTTATATTAGGTACTGATCATGACAGATCCCATCCCAAGCTATAAGTAGCATTAAGTAGTAGCAATGCAATGGAACAGGCTTCACCTACAATATGAATAATAAATGTCACTGGAAAACTCCATTTCCAGAAGAAAAATTGGATTTCAGAATTTTCGCGTTTTATAGTGATTTCCAGAATAAATTTTTCTCAAATATATATTCTCTTTTATATAAAAGAGATTTCTGGATGGGAAAAATCAACTTTAGCAAAAAAATTATACAAATGCTATTAAGAGGGCTAAAATACAATATAATGATAGTATAATTTTGCCAGCTGAAAATCCAGTAAAAGCAATATGGAAAATCATAAATAAATCAACAACTGTAGACTCTCGCGAGGACACTTGTTCAGTTCTCTCACTTACTGATTTCAATGACTACTTTTGCAGCATTGCACAGGATCTCACTAGCAGGATTGGTCCGAGTGAACTTGGTCCTCTACAAAACCTAAAATACATGGTTCTTCCATCTAATAATTTTACTTTTCTCCTGTCTCTTGCCGTGGAGTTAAGGTTAGCTACTGTGATATTTTTGGTTTGAGCATCAAATTGATTACCCATTAAAAACATTTTAATCATCCCCTTAATGAGATTATTTAATTCCTGTTTACGCTAGAATGTTTTTTTTTTTAATATTCTTAAAATGGCTCTTGTTGTACCCATCTTTAAAAAGGGTGACAAAAATGAAGCCACAAATTACAGGCCCACCTCACTGTTGCCAGTGCTATCAAAAATTGTTGAGAAGTGCATGGCACTGAGGTTGGTTGAGGTTCTTTATGGGAACGGGTGTTTTACTGAGAGCAAAGATAGAGTCAGTTTGGTTTTCGAGTAGGCAGAAGTACTGCTTTGGCTATAATCTCATTGCTGATATTCTGGATCCTTTTGACAATCTCCAATATAATGCTGTTCTTTTCTGTGACTTATGTAAGGCTTTCGACCATATTTTCCATGAACTCTTTCTATATGGAAAACAGATTCCAAACTGTCACGGTAGGTGGGATGTGTTCTGCGGAAAGGGTTGTAAATATAGGTACGCCTCAAGGGTCTGTCCTGGGGCCGATACTAGTTCTAATCTATGTATATGATTTTCCCGATGATCTTCCTTTTAACAATAATCGAGAAAAATACACCCTTTTGCATCGGATGACCCCACAGTCTCCATGTCAGCGGGACTCGTTGATCAGGCGGTCCTATAGCTTAAAGCCACACAGGATAGGATGAAGGACTGGTTTAACGCTAATAAGCTCCTCATGAATGAAGACAAAACAGAGAAATTGGTTTTCTTCCTCAGAAACTCTAAAGGTGTAAATGAAAAGATGAGGAAGGTGCGATTTCTTGGCTTTTACATTGACCCCACTCTCGGCACTCTCAGATGGGATGCCCAAATTGATCAGGTTTTATCAAAGCTTATCTCTTTTTGAACAAAGGGAGAATTTTTGTCGGTTTTATAGGCACCGAAACTAGTTTTTACAGAGAAAATTTGTGGAAATTAAAGTCAAAGGAAAATTGAAAAAGTCGGGGTTTGTGCAGGATTTGAACCTGCGACCTCCGCATTGCTAGTACGACACTCTACCAACTGAGCTAACAAGCCCGCCAGGACGGCGATTCTCGAGTCGTGATTCTCGAAATTAGGGACCGTTCACTTCCTATGAAAGTTGGGAGAATTTTATTCTACTACCTTTTTTGAAGAGAACGTCTGTTCTCAGGAGAACCAAACGTCAAACACGCGCTTTTTGTCAATTCTACAGTCATCATCCATGGTATTTTTTTGTTTGTTTTGCAAATCATTTATCCGCAATTGCCAATTGGGTAAATACGAACGTGGGAAACCATGGAAGCTGGGGTTATAGGAAGAATTCTTGTACTGAATTCTGTTAAATTTAAAATTTAGCGACCGGAGGTCTGCTAGGCATATGGAAAATGTTCTTTCCTTTTGCAGCGGCCTTAACCGTAACGTTACGTCGTATACCTCAACAGCTGACCGCCTTATGGGAATTTTTTTTTCCGGTTCCTACCGATATCAAATTTGATTCTGTCGATTGCCATAAGCGAGAAAACTATCAGCCATCAAATATTCTTTCACAAGATCGCGCCCTTATTTCAACCCTTTCAGTACGTGCAAACCCTATGGCTTTGGTTTTTCACTATTAGATTGTTCTACAATGTTAATGTGTTAAAATGCCATGAAAGAGAAATTGAAAAAATAACCTATTTTTTTCTGCAAGAGGAAAATTAATTTTCCATATGCCTAGCAGACGTCCGGCTGCTAAATTTTCATTTTTTAAGCTCAGCACTGACATATTTTTCAGTGGTTGAAAGATCCTGCTCGAAATTTAATTGATTTATTGACACCTTTTATACATGCTCCAACTAGAACTTCATCATTAAAAACTATGGTAAAATCGGAGGTAAATTTTCCACTTTGAAGTTTCTCATTTTGTCTTACAAATTCAATGAGCATTTCTTTCAAAGAATGAGATTACGTCCCAAAACACAAATAAAACGAATAAAACCTCAGATTTTCTTCTTTCTCATGACATTCGTCCTTTTAACACACTAAAATTGTGGCTAATTCTACATATTACTGTTGGCAACAACGCATTATGATTTGACAAGTTTTCTCTCATTCTATCATAATCCCATACATTCGAGAATACCAACTTTGGCACCAAGAGAACGAGCGTGCGATGTGATCTCTCACTTCTCTTAAGGGGAACGTTCACTTCTATCAAATTCGAGAATCGACTACCAGGTAGAGATCGGCGAATACATGATCACTTTCGTTCTCCTCCCACTCACTCCAAACGTTTTTTTTCAATTTTCCAATGGCTCACGAATGTGGCATCGGTCCTGCCAGGGTAAATCACCTTTCACCACTATGCGCAGATTTCGTCCACGATGTGTTAAAATTTCTTATATACGCCATGCGACGTAAGCAAAGTTGAACAAAGGGAGAATTTTTGTCGGTTTTATAGGCACCGAAACTAGTTTTTACAGAGAAAATTTGTGGAAATTAAAGTCAAAGGAAAATTGAAAAAGTTGGGGTTTGTGCAGGATTTGAACCTGCGACCTCCGCATTGCTAGTACGACACTCTACCAAATACAAATACAAATACAAATACAAAATATTTATTGATGCCATAACAAAAGTTTTACACAAGTCAAAAAAAAGAAATTTTAGGTAAATAGTAATTAAGTGATATCACTAAAATTATTGGACAAATATTCATGTATACTATAAAAACTTTTGGAAATAAGGTACTCTTTGATTTTTGTTTTGAAGCCTTGAATTGGTAAGGACCTTGTGTGGAGGGGCAATTTGTTATAAAACAGCGGTCCATAGAAAGACACCCCTGTTTTCATACGATTTATTCGATGAAAATCAGTATAAATGTTGGTATTATTCCTAGTTAAATGGGAGTGAACATTTTCAAACCTCTCATAATCTCCAAGATTTGCTTTTACATGCAATAAGCAGCTTAAAATATATAGGCAAGGAACTGTTAAGATATTTAGTCTAGAAAAATACATTCTACAATCAGCTCTGTAGTGCAAATCCTGTAGGATTCTTATTGCCCTTCTCTGGAGGGAAAAAACACGGCTCGCATCAGAGGCATGACCCCAGATTAGGATACCATAAGATATCCTAGAATGGACACACGCAAAATACCTCTACTGAGCTAACAAGCCCGCCTGGTAGAGATCGGCGAATACATGATCACCGAGATGATCACTTTCGTTCTCCTCCCACGTTTGGAGCGAGTGGGATTGCCTTCGCTAAATCCAAAAATATGGCAATTGTTCTTTTATTATTATTTAAATTTCTCGACATTTCAAAAACAAGATGAGAAACAGCATCGTTAGTCCCTTATTCTTAATAAAAGCAAATTGTTTTTCTGATAAAATATCGCACACATCAAAAAAGTTAACCAAGCGTTCCTTTAGGCATTTTTCCAATATTTCACCAAAGTTATTAATCAGGCTCACTTATTGGTCTGTAGTTTGTAATTTCTCTTTTGTTGCCTGTTTTGAAAATTGGTGTTTCTACAAAAGCTTTAAAGTAATTGGGTATATGTCCCGTTTTGAAAATGGTATTAATTGAGGTATTAATTATGCGTGTAAGAGGTTTTATTGTGTGTACATGTGCTATTTTAATTTATGCTGGAGTTCCTCAGGGATCTGTGTTGGGTCCTATACTTTTTCTCATTTATATTAATGATTTGGCAGATATTGATATCAGGGGAAAGTTTACACTCTTTGCCGACGATGCCACCATTCTATGGCAGAATGACAGTGAAAAACAGCTTTATGAAATAATTTGTATCGAGATAAAAAAAATCAAGGCTTGATGCGATGCAAATAGAGATACGGAATCTGTTTCTGGGAAAATTGTACCAAGCAATTGTTTAATAGCGTGTTTCTGCTACAAAAACGAGCCATAAGGTACACTTTTAAAGCCAATGTTCGCGATACTTGTAAACCCCTGTTTATTAAATCTAATATTTTAACACTTGCCTCACTTTTTGTACTGGAAACAGCTTGTATGGCATATAAAAAGTTTAAACCCCTAAATAGAGTTGGGCACGCATATAACACTAGAAATTTAGACCAACTCTCTCTGCCTATACCTGTATCATCCCAAGTAAAAAACTCGATTGTATACAGGGGAAAAAAGATTTTCAATAATTTACCAAGTCATGTAAAATCACTGCCCACAATGTCTAAATTTAGAAAAGAGGTGAAAAGAATATTGTTTTCGAGAGCCTATTATGATATTGACAAATTTTTTGTTACTAGTTTTTAATTTATATTAGTAATTGTCATAGAGATTTTGTTTGTGACGAGTGTTTAAAATGTTCATGTCTTATACACCAAAACTATTGTTAAGAGCTTTTTCTTTTCTTTTATATTTAATTAACAGAAATTTTTCAATGTTTGCTTTGTGAACAAATATCTGGTATATATTTTTTTTACACAATAAAGCACGATTTTGATTTGATTTGAGTTCGATTAATTAATTTAGCCGAAATGTTATCGAATCCTGGAGAACTATTATTTTTTAAAGAATTGATTTGTATTATTACTTCATTTTCAGTAACTGGTCTCAAGAACATGGACTTACTATTATTATAACCAACTTCAAAGGGTTGTTGAGGAGGGTTTATTTTTTGTGATACTTTCTTTCCTACTAAAGAATTTGTTGCAAAAATCGGCAAATTGTTTATTATCTGAGAATATTTCCCCATCATCATCAAAAATGTTTTACAAATTTAATTAATTTGGCTTCCTGTATGTATTTTAAAACTGTGGAAGTGAAGCTCTATGTAGCAAGTTCCGAGTCATTATTTTGTATTACGTTATCTGAGACATTATCCCAACTTTTAGAAGTACCTAAGTGAAGTGATTAATTTAGCATAATTAATTTGTTCAATTTTTTTGTCTACCTCAGCTGTGTGTTGCCCTTGTAATTGTGGCATCACTGACACTCAGCATTAGGGTAATGGTCAGTTACATCCGAGTGGAATATGTATTGAAATATATATTTATTTTCAACAACAATGTATGATTGAAAGTTCAAAGCATTACCCTTCGCCCTTTTTCGTAGGAAAAAATGATCAGTGCAAGTATCTGAAAGATTTGTCGCTTTAGTAGAGCCATAAGATTCAATAATAAAAATAGCTTTCCTGTTATGAAAAGCCATAAAATTTAGCTGTGTCGAATGATTCAAAAATACACGCAAAAACGATCCAATTAGAATTTTTTATAACTTTACCCAAAGAAACTGTGATTGTGACTGGTTTGAGTGAGTGTAGTCACTCTTTATTATTTCTGACCAAGTGTATTTTCACTATTAAAAGCGTTGATTAGCTGAATAAGAATTTGATTAGGGATTGCTAAAAATTAGGAACGCGATTAGAAATTATTGCTAGACAGAAGATAGGCTGTTGCATATTTCAGCAAAACATGCAGGCAGGACTATGCATAACATAATAAGTAACAAGAGGTTAACAACGCGAAACGCGACCTGAAAAAAGAAAACACGCACACGGCCATAATGTGGTGTGAGATACAATTCGATAATAGTTACAATTAGCTACCTGTTTTTTGTTGAAATTCCTCGAAATTCAGCACTATGGTCGGACACTGGTGTTGCCGATCAATTAAACCAATTTTCAGTATCGTCCGTAAATTAAATCCGTTGAAAATTGAGCGGCTTTTTCACAATAAATCAACGCACTGGCTATAACAAAAACAAAACCGCGGCGCGTCAGCAGACCAGCTGACTCTCTACGTTTTGTTGGGTTGGTTTTTCGATTGCGTGCCGCGAAGTTGCGGTTGCGACCGATGCTGCTAGGGCCCGTATTCTCGGAATCGGGGAACAGCGATTCTCAAGAGAACGATTGCTCTGTCTTTGTCAGTATTATGTAAATAACAATATGGGCGACTAAGACAGAGCAATCTTTCTCTTGAAAACACTGTTCCCCGGTTTCAGATAAGTTCAGAGTCAAGCCCAAGGGGAAAATGTCTCCAAATTTTTCTATGAAGATCCCACCCGTGCAAGTACCAACTAGTCCGAGTTGTAGTTCTGGTCCACTTTGCGCCCATTTGATTTCTACGTCTTACCAGAAAATATCCAGCTTCGAATTCGTCCAGAGCCCAATAAGCCAGATTTGGGACTTTATGGATGCACAAAAAAAAAACTAACAGAGGTTTGCTAGAGATTAAGGCAGCTCAGTGAAAAACCAAATAAAAAAAAATATGCTTTAACTTTCAAACATTTTCTTATATTTTTTAGTTTTTGAAATAACGATTTATTTATCTAGGTATATTTAGGTATAATGTGAATAGCCGATTTGGTAATTTTTTAGTTTATTTTTATTGCGTAAGTATATTTAGGTATTTTTGACTAAGACCCCAAAACCCCGAAGATTCATGAATTTTCCCAGGTTTTCCGTGATATAATTACCTATTTAAAGTAATTCCATTTTACCAAGTAGTGCTATATATTTATAACAATCCTATTCGATATCAAAATTTATCTTTAACTTAAATTTTCATAACTTTAATTACAATTTCCATAACTTTAATTTTTACAGTTTTATATATTATACCGGTGTAATTGTACAGTGTACAGTGTGTTCTTTACTGTTGTCTAGGAAAATAAAGTTTCATTTTTGGGGAGTACTGAGTATTTGTTTAAATAAATAAAATTAACAGGCCTTTTGAAATTTTTATTTGCGTCCTCGTGACATGTTTTGATCTTGTTTTGAACAAAATATTTTTTTCTCAACATTTGAGGCACGTCTCAAGGCACATGGTAGGTCTGAGTTACAAACCGCAATATTTTGGTAAAACGTGAAAAAATCCACACGTAATATACATAAACAATGAAATTAATATCCACCTGTTGTGAGTGTTGTGTTGGAAACCTCAGAACAAAATGATAATATACCGGGTGTCCCAACGAAAACTGTCAATAGCCTATATCTTGAAAACGGTAATCGATAAAAAAATGAATAAAAATCCGTTTGGAGGGTTGAAAGGGGGAACCAAAACAAGGTACTTTTCAGCTCTCCCCGAACCACCTCTCCGGCGGTAGCCAGCCTAACCTCAAAATCTTAAATGGCACTATACAGGGCGGTCCATTTAACTTGAGACAGTCAAATATCTCGAAAACGGTGCGTTTCTGAAAAAAAAAGTTCAAACAAAAGTTACATGGTGTCATGGGGGAAACAAAATGGCGGCACCGATTTTTGACTTTGACAACGTCTTCAAGGTTATTTCAAGGTCAATTTTTTTTTTCAATGGAAACGTATTTTTTTATTGCAGATCCCTATTCTACGGAAAAAAACAAGTAGCTTTTACTTGAAGCATTTTTCGATCAGGTTCCAATTTAAGCTGATAAACAAGAAAGAATAATATTTTTTTTTATTTTCCTCATCACACAATCTAAATTTGATAAATGCTACCATAGTGAAAAAAATACCTCAAAAACTATAACAAATGTTCAAAGTGATGTCCGCCAACTTCAACACACTTGTCAATTCGCTGTAGAAAGCTTTCATGGCACCGAATTAGAGTATCTCTACTGACAGCTCTACAAGCATTTCTTATGCGTTCCATCATATTTTCCGGTGTTGTGGGAGCCTCTTGATAAACAATCTGTTTGATATTGCCCCATAAAAAAAAATCGAGAGGCGTTAAATCAGGTGACCTATCAGGCCATGCAACGGGACCACCTCTTCCAATCCACCGATCACGGAAATCACGATTTAACTTCTCTTGGGAAATTCTGGCATAATGAGCAGCGGATTTTTGAATTTCAACGAATCAAGTATAAATTTCAAATAATTTGGACCAATAGGAACAATTCAGCAGAAAAATAGTTCACAATTCGCGTACATGAGGGCTTAGCTTTACAATGCTCTTTTTTTTCTTTAAACGTCAAAAATCCGACATTTTTGCAAGTAAATTGTGACACATATTTTTGATTTTGAAAATCTTTTGGCTCTTTTCATCTGTGAATCCCAAATAGCTAATACCGCCATCAATTTTAAGATTATCCACCAATTAGCAAATATGGAATATCTTTCTATCGCAGCTAAAGTTGAGATGATATTAATTTATGGTGAATGTCAAAGAAGTGTTGTTAATGCCGTCGCATTGTACGCTGAACGTTTTCCAGATAGAAATGCCATATCGCGCGCGTCTTTTTATCGGGTTGTTAAAGAGTTTAAAGAAAATGGAAGTGTACAGCCAAAAAAAAGGAGAAGTCGAGCCACGACCACTGGGGAAAATAATGAAGTCGCAGTATTAGCGGCAGTTGCTGTAAATCCATGTATTTCTTCTCGAAGAATTGCAAACGACTCTGGAATTTCTAAAACCAGTATTCTTAGGATTTTAAAGCGGCACAAGTTCCACCCATATCATATCTCTCTACATCAGGAACTTCATGGTGATGATTTCGCAAATAGAGTGACATTTTGTCAGTGGGCACGAGAAAGAACAGATCTAGATGAACATTTTTTCCGTAATGTGTTGTTTTCGGACGAATCCGGTTTTACAAACCATGGGCAGGTAAATCGCCATAATATGCATTATTGGAGTATTGAAAATCCACGGTGGTTGAGAGAAGTAGAACATCAGCGCCCTTGGTCGGTGAATGTATGGTGCGGAATTATTGGAGACAAGTTGATTGGCCCGTATTTTATTGAAGGTACACTGGATGGACCAAAATATCGAAGATTTTTAAGCGATCATTTACCAGCCCTGCTTGCAAATCTAACACGTCAACAAAGAGCAAATATGTGGTATCAACATGATGGTTGCCCTGCTCATTATGCCAGAATTTCCCAAGAGAAGTTAAATCGTGATTTCCGTGATCGGTGGATTGGAAGAGGTGGTCCCGTTGCATGGCCTGCTAGGTCACCTGATTTAACGCCTCTCGATTTTTTTTATGGGGCAATATCAAACAGATTGTTTATCAAGAGGCTACCACAACACCGGAAAATATGATGGAACGCATAAGAAATGCTTGTAGAGCTGTCAGTAGAGATACTCTAATTCGGTGCCATGAAAGCTTTCTACAGCGAATTGACAAGTGTGTTGAAGTTGGCGGACATCACTTTGAACATTTGTTATAGTTTTTGAGGTATTTTTTTCACTATGGTAGCATTTATCAAATTTAGATTGTGTGATGAGGAAAATAAAATAAAATATTATTCTTTCTTGTTTATCAGCTTAAATTGGAACCTGATCGAAAAATGCTTCAAGTAAAAGCTACTTGTTTTTTTCCGTAGAATAGGGATCTGCAATAAAAAAAATACGTTTCCATTGAAAAAAAAAAATTGACCTTGAAATAACCTTGAAGACGTTGTCAAAGTCAAAAATCGGTGCCGCCATTTTGTTTCCCCCATGACACCATGTAACTTTTGTTTGAACTTTTTTTTTCAGAAACGCACCGTTTTCGAGATATTCGACTGTCTCAAGTTAAATGGACCACCCTGTATATCATGTTATAGGTACATTTTTTGAAAGGCTTTTTAATTCTTTAAACGAATCTGCAAAAAGAAATTATCCAGATACGAATTTAAATTGTCACAAAATAGCCCATACTTCGAGTTAACATTTTTGCCCTCTTGAGGAGGTGAACACTGTCAGGTACGGTGAGGGGAAAAGGGTTCGAAAAGATAAAATCTTATGATTTCTTCAAAATTATTCATGATATTATTTATTTTGTATAAGTTCGATCTTAAATCACATTTACCTGTTCCACCCGATCAAATGAGGTTTTCATCAAAATTAGAGTCACATTTAAATCTGGATAATTTTTTTTTGCAGATCCATTTAGAGAATTGAAAGACCTTTTAAACAAGGTATCACATGACCTATCGTGTCATTTAAGATTTTGAGATTAGGGTGGCTAAGGCCGGAGGGATGGTTCGGGGAGAGCTGAAAAGTATCTTATTTTGATTCCCCCTTTCAACCCTCCAAACGGGTTTCTCTCTTTTCTTTTATCGATTACTATTTTCAAAATATAACCCATTGACAGTTTTCGGTGGGACACCCGGTATTGGGAACGACTGATGAAGTACTGATTCGAACTTACGGCAAAAGAAATTTCACTATGCCGAAAACAAATCGAAACCGGCCAAAAATTTGGGGGCGCACGTGCAGCTTCTCTGGCAACACAAATAAGACTAACATGTTTAATACTACTTGATGTACTGTGAAATGGAGACAAATAGCCCACGTTATTAAAAAATAATGGCGATTGTCTCATTGTAAACCCGTCTCATGGTGGCCCACCCTCCCCTATATGTCTTATGAGCTTTATTACAGTAACCTAAGTCTAAGCATTTATAGCATAAGTAGGTATTTAATTTTTTATCTACAACCGTGCGGTCACTAAGGTATGGTATACCGTATACCACACACGATTTTGCGTGCGATAATATTATACCTACGAGTGTTTAGCAGATGGCAGAGCCGGAGGTAGCCGATCGTAGATACACTGTCCAACGACATAGTCTCAGTATAGTCCACCGTCCACCTAATATTTTAATGATTATTCATTTGGCTTATTTTTATTTCATTAGGGTGACTTGAGGACTTTTATTGATTGTTATGGAAGTATTTGATCAAACGCTTACCCTTGGCCTAAAAGAATCGTAGACTGCAGAGATTGAAATAATTATGATCTTGATCTACTTAGTTAACTAGCAGATGGAACAAAAAAATATCCGTAGCTCTTGAGCCATGGGACTGTACATCAAAGTGAGAAGTGAGGGTGGTTTTAAGTTGCTACTTGCTACCTGTGGGTGGGTAAAAACCGTCTACCATTGACTTGGACTCGCAGGCCGTAGGGGATGAGATTAGATTTTTTTAGTTGCTAGCAGATGCAGGCGCGGATCCAGACTCAAATTAGGACGGGGGCCATACAAAATATTGGAAGGTACAGGGTGTCTGGTTATAATTTGACACCCCACCTTTACAGGTGGATGATAGATGTAAACACAAAAGTGGAGCAGTTTTAGCTAAATTATTGTCAGGAATTTGAAATTTTGCGTACTTTCAACTTTTTTAAAATAGAATGCCCTATATTTGATTCTATATTCTTGAAGAGCTCAATTTTCCGATTCCAAAAATATATATTTTCTCTATATTTAGTTGAGCCGTCTCCACCATATTTGGCTTCAAAGATTTTGAAAATACATACTATCAGAGAAACCAAGTGCCTCAAATTTTACCTGAAGCTTCCATCAGAATGGTTCACAAAATCGTCAGTAGGATAGAATTTTTCCAATTTTTAGAGTCAAACATGTTTAAGGAGCCTCAAACAAATATAGACAAACTATATGTATATTCGAAGAGCGAATCTTGATCTTAACGCCATCTAGGACACGATAATCAACACGACACGCAATTTTGCTGTGCAAAATGGTGAACGTTCCAAAGGCAGACCAAAATTCAGTTCGTTTGGGTTTCACCCAAAAGTACCACTGTTTGAGAAAAGTTTTTGGATTAATTTTCTCCGCTTTTCAATCCATAGACGCGTTTCGACCTATATCAGGTCTCATCAGTATGGCTAGGAAAAGCGAAGAAAACCAATCCAATTTTTCGCCTAAAGGCAAATGCAAGAAATTCGAAGAGCGAATCTTGATCTTAACGCCATCTAGGACACAATAATCAACACTACACGCAATTTTGCTGTGCAAAATGGTGAACGTTCCAAAGGCAGACCAAAATTCAGTTCGTTTGGGTTTCACCCAAAAGTACCACTGTTTGAGAAAAGTTTTTGGATTAATTTTCTCTATATGTATATTGGTAGCAAAACTAGCAAATATAGGACATTTCATTTAAAAAAGTTGAAACTACGCAAAATTTCAAATTTCTCACAATAAACTTTTGTTTTTGACGATGGATTCTGTTAAAAAACTGCATTCTGTTAAAACTGCACAACTTTTGTGTTCACACCTATCATCTACCTGTAAAGGTAAAGGCTGCAGGTGGGGATGTCAAATTATAACCAGACACTCTGTACATACAAATAGAGTAGGCTAGAGGTTCGTGATAAAATGACGCCATGAAATAAAATTCTGTTATATACGGGCCCTGGTAAGCCCGGAAAAATTGATCGATTTAATGTTGCGGATTTTTAAAACTATTTTTTTTTTATCTAGGGGGGGTTCCATGGCCCCCATGGCCCCTCCCTGGATCCGCGCCTGAGCAGATGAAACAGAAATAAATTCGTAATGCTAAAACCTATGATAGGAATCACTTTAAGGGATAAAGTTTGCAACGAGGAAATTCGTGAAGAACTAAAGTGACGGATGTACTAAGGCTTGTGGTACAACTAAAATGGAGATGGGCTGGTCATATAGCAAGGTAGGATGGCCTAAATGAACACACAGGATATTAATTTGGCGCCCAAGAGAGACCAAACGAAGCATTGGTAAACTCCAGAGACGATGGCGAGACGATATCCAGAATGTTGCAGGAAGGAATTGGATCAGGACTGCTAGGGATAGAAGAGCACGGAGAGATTTGAAAAAGGCCTATACATCCAGGAGGGGATAAGCACGGGCTGAGAAGAAGAAGAAGAGTGCTAAAACCATGGGATTGTTCACCATAGTGAGGATGGTTTTTAGTTGTTATGTTGGTAAGAAATAACTGCCTTCTCTTGGTTTGGACTCGCGGGGCGTGAGCGATGAGATATGATTCTATTAACTCCTAGCAGATGATCCTGAAATAAATTCATAAAATCATATCTCATCTCCTATGGCATGCGAGTCCCATCCAATGGTAGGCGGCTATTATATTACCCACCCACATAGCAACTAAAAACCACCCTCACTTTGCGAAGTTGAAAACACTTCCGAAAGAACCCGAATCTAGAAAATACACAGTGTGGTTTTCGTCCAGGAATATGTTAATGAAAAGTCGGTTTTCGGCTTATTTGCACTTAATTTCACAAAAATCTATATCAACAGCCAACGTTTCACAAATAAGCCGAAAATCGACTTTTCGTCCGATAGAACTATCGAATATAATAGTAATTTCATAAAAAATGGGGAAAAAAACTTTAAGTTCACTTCTTCGAACACATTTTCCAGACTCCACCGAAGTCACCCCTGATAGCAGAAACCTATCAAGCCCTTCTGCTTTCCGTAATGGAGCTTGCTAAAAAAGTGGTGCGATGGTATAAAATGGGTAATAACAAGGTAAAATGCTCATTTAACAGCTTCAAATCACCGGGACCAGATGGAATAATACCAGCACTCCTACAAGAGGCGGTGGACCTTATAGCACCACACCTCTCTGCAGCTTATGTAGGGCCAGCCTGGTAACAGGCTACATTCCCGAGTTCTGAAGAGAAGCAAAAGCAGTCTTTATCCCAAAGCCTGACAGAGATCCATCTCAGGCCAGGTCATACAGGCCGGTCAGCTTATCGTCTTTAATAAGAGTGACAGAGAAACTACTTGAAAAGCACCTCAGGGAAACCTCATTGAAACAGAGGCCACTTCACCAAAATCTACATGCCTTCCAACCAGGTAAATCATGCGAATCAGCACACCAACTGGTGACAACAATAGAGAATTCGCTAGTCAACAAGAAAATCGCACTAGTGGCATTCCTTGACATAGAAGGAGCCTTTGACCACACCTCCTTCAACTCCATAATCAGAGCTGCTGGGCATGCTGAAACCTCTATTAAAGTAACCGCGACAAAAGAATGCTTACAGGGCGGAGTAAATACTTTCATCACTATTGTGGAATCTAGTCGTGGATGAACTGCTGAGGAATCTCAACGATAAAGGCTACGCGGATGGCTTATTCGTTGTCATCAGTGGAAGATTTATCAACGGTATCAAACCTCATAAAAAGGACGCCTTCATGAGGCCATTGAGGAATGGTGCACGAGGAGGCAACTTCGCGTCAATAACCCCTCCAAGACAAAACTCATCAGTCATTCCTCTCACCAAAAAAAGAAATCCGAAGGACTTGATACCCCCCACCAAATTTACTGAAAAATTGTGAGACGAAAAAAAGTTAAATTAAAATTTCAACACATTTTATGCAATTTTATTATACCCTTCCAAAAAAAATGTTTAAAAATATAAACTCTTATTGTTATTCGAAACGCAGTGAGGCTAATTCCATTTTTATATTTTCTCAACGTTCAAAATAATTTCTTCTTTCGGATGCAATAAAATCAAAGAAGGTTTAAACGATAAATTTTCTGGCGTATCTTTACAAAATGTATATTTGTAGTCTTTGAGCAGTCCAGCTAATCCTATTTTTGTTTGCAGCATACCAAAACGAGAACCTGGAAAATGACAATTTTTATTTAAAAATTACAATAATAATTAATCTTTTACCGATACAAATCCTTGGTCCTTCACCGAACGGCATATAAGCAAAATCGGGTCTTTTAGCTTTTTCCTCGTTACTGAAACGTTCCGGATCGAATAGTTCTGGATCTGGATAATATTCAGGATCCATATGAATGCCCCAAACAGAAATTTCAACCTTTGTACCTAGAAGTATTTTTTTGTATATTTTGTGGAAAAATGATGAAATTTTGATTTTGGGAGTATTCAGATACCTACATAAATAGACAAAAAGTTTGTGTTAGTTAATAAGTAGGTAGGTGAATGTTAAATATTGATTATCAAGTATACCTTTTTCTATTTTGATATTTGTTCCAGGTATTATGTAATTTTTTGTACAAACCCTTGGAATTGACGGTACAACAGGGTACTTCCTTAGAGTCTCTAAAAATACATACAAAATAATACAAACCTATACAACTTAAATAAGTATTTTACCTAATATTACTTTCTCAACAAATTCCATCTCTTTGGCACCTTCATAGGTTAATTTCCCATCATATTTTTTTAAAACCTTTAAAAATGCAATTAGAAAAAAAAACATACGCAAAAGTCAATCTTCAACCTGTTGTATTTCATTCCTCATTTTGTCCTGTATCGGAATATTTTTAGCTACCTCATAAAGAGCCATAGTCATTGTCACGGAAGAAGTATCAAATCCAGCCACGAAAAAAATAAAACACTGAGCTACGATTTCGTCATCCCTCAGAATACCAGTTTCGTTGTTTTCTTTCGTGAATTTGCCATCGTCAGACAATACACCTCTGTTACGCAGTTGGAGCAGTAAATGCATAAAGTCTTTTCTGAAATAAACAAAATACAAATTGGATCACTAGTGGAGAAGGAGAACTGTTGGCATAACTTATTGCAGAGCTCTAGAATATCATCCTATATCCTGAATAGCCAAAATGAAAGAATAAATTCTTACCTGAATACCTGATTTTTCTCTCTATGCTCTATGGTTTTCGATACAATATTAACATAGAAATCCTCCACGTCTCCAAACATTTTGAATCCAGTATAAGCTAGAAGTTTTCTTGGAAAAACATTCTCCATCCATTGTTTCAATCGGCTTGGAGTGTTAACTTTTTTACCGTAAACTCTAAAATCGCAGTCCGGATTCGCTAGTGAATCGCATTCGATACCGAAAGCACAAGACCCAATAACGTCGGTGGTGAATCGTCCAGAAAAATCTGTCATATTGATTTTACCATCTGTTTCAATGTATCGATCAATTATAGATTTGAATTGATACGTTTTTTCGTTCAACGTTTCAAACATCATTTTCATTCGGCTTGAAGTGAAAGTGGGAGATAGTTTGTTTCTCAATTGTTTCCAGTGTTCACCTTCTATTCTGAACAGGTTCTGTGTTAAAATATCTGATTCATTATTGTTGCTACCTAAAATATTTAAAGTAAAAAACTTGATTTCAAATTCTTCTGGTAAGTATCATAAATTTAAACTTTCCTCTATCTTGGAAATGAATGAAACTTTTCAGCATTATGTCTTTAATCAACTGAAGATCTAGTGGTATGAATACTGGATTGAATGCCAAATAAATTCCACCATATTTCAGGTTTTTACTTTTAAATGTGGAATAAATGTTTCTGTAGGCTCCTCCTGTGGATACTTTACCAGTAAGCATATCTCTAAAAAAGCATTTTGTTAATGTAGCTGTGCGTTTGAAATGAAAAAATTTCATCCAGTCTATTGAGTACCTATACCTATAAGTGTTAAGTGTTACCTTCATTCAAGAAGTGTATTTATATCATTGTTAATTTCAGAATGTTACATATAAGTATCAAGTAGGTACATAAAGATTCATTTCAAAAAAATCTCACCTCATATCTCCAAATAAAAATTCGGGATCCAACTGTACAACTCCTCGTCGTTTCCAATAAGAATAATACCATTTTGAAATTAGCAAAATAAGTAAGGGAAAGGCACAAATACACGTAATTAACCAAACGCAATCCATTTTCAACTACTTATCCGTTCCTTTGTTAGTATAATAATACCAATAACAATATATTGGTTTTAAAAATAGTTTATTGATATGGTATCTTGAACGTTCGACTTATGTACTGATGTACATTTGTTTATATTTTTTTAAATGATAACTACATACACAGTGTGTAAAAAGTCCCGGAACAATTATGAAATATTTCATATGGCTGAAACCATTAGTTTCAGAAATATTTTAAGCTGATGGACATAAATATGATAAGTACCATTAGGTACCTACCTACATTTTGCATTTTTACAAGCTGGGTACCTACGCGTCAGTGCGTCAAAGTAAATTCTATATCTGGTATTCTGTGCTCTGGTAAATTCTGGAAATGCCTCTCAACGAAAGGGAACGTATAACTTTACTAATGATAAGAAGTTTTGGAGACCGACAAAGGCCAATTAGCGAATTAAAGGATATTATTTAATACAACTTTTTTAAACTGACAGCCTATATATATATATATCAAAATCTACAATTGTGAGAACAACTCAAAGACTCGCTCAAAGATTTGAGGAAACCGGGAGTTGCAGGGATAAAGTTCGTTCCGGAAGACCAAAGTCAGCTTACTTCATTTTGTTCAGGATCCACATTTGTCACTGAGGAAAACTGCTACCCAAGTTGATGACTGTTTTGAGTTAATTGAGATTGTTTTAAAAACAAGTAATTTTCACCCTTACAACATAACTCTTGTCCAAGAATTATCAGAAGACGATTTCGATTGTAGATTGAAATTTTGCGAAGTAGGTAATGATGCAAAAACAGGAAGAAAATAACAATTTTTTTGATCAAATAGTTATTTCGGATGAGGCAACCTTTATGTTGAACGGGACTCTCAATCGACAAAATTGTCGATACTGACCTGGCTGATCAGAATCCACACTGGATGAGAGAAACACATACTCAGCACCCCTAGAAAGTAAATGTATGGGCTGGCATTATTGACAAGAGATTAGTGGCGTGGCGCCTCTCTTTATAGAGGGGAATTTAACTGCCGAAATGTTTCTTCGCATGTTGCGAAATGAAATTGTTCTAGCAATAACTAGTGAAGTAGGACCAATATTACGCCATACGTAGTTTCAGCAGGATGAAGCTCCTCCTCATTTTGGGCAAGCTGTTAGAGGTTATTTAAACATCACTTTTCGTAATCGCTGGATAGGGTGAAGAGGAGCCATAGAATAGGATGGCCCGCTAAGTCACCAGACTTAATGCCTCTTAATTATTTTCTTTGGGGACATCTGAAAAATAAAGTGTTTGTGACAAAACCTGCAGATCTGAATGAATTGAGAAGAAGAATTATTGAAGAATGTGCATCTATTAACCAAGAAATGTTACAAAACGTCATCAATAAATTTAATTATAACCTAGCTCTTTTTTAAACTGCGAGAGGAGGACATTTTCAGCATTTAATTAAATAATGACTTACACTTAATTCTATTTTTGTTCTTTCAAAGTTATTGTTGATTTCACATTTCACATTACTGCTTAAATTTAATAATTTAGTTATAAAAATTTTGACGAAACTGGAGTGAGGTACATTTAACACAAAGTTTAATGTTTTTTTCAGGTTTTAACGTGAAATATTTTGAGCCGACTCAAAACAATGCAAAATGTACAGGGTGTTTTTTTTTATATATTGACACCCCACCTACAGCCTTTACCTTTACAGGTAGAAGAAAGGTGTAAATACAAAAGTTGTAAAGTTTTGGCTAAATTTTTAGAATCCATTGTGTTGCGCAGGACTTTAATTAAACTACGACGTTGTGACGACGTTTATGCAACCGACTACAGTAAGTTAATGTTTTGGGAATGGGAATAACGTTCTGACAACGTTCAGGTGACAACTTAAAGTCTGTTTTTTTTTTAAGATAATTCTCCAAGTCAAAAATATAGTAACTGTGTTGGCAACACAAACCTTTTCTACATAAAAAAATTGAAAGCATTGACAATGTTACATATTGTATTCAAATTCAAATTCAAATTCAAAATCTCTTTATTTCAAATAATATGGATTATAAACAGTTTTGAATACAGACCATAAATTAAGTGAAACAGTGTCAAAGGGAAAAGGTTTTAAGTTATAATGTTGCACTAAAGTAGTCATTTAGATTGTATGGTACTAGATCTATTAACAAGTTTTTCACCTTCCTTTTAAAACTATTTAGACTATCTACTGTTTTAAAATTATTGGGTAGTTTGTTAAATATTCTTATGCACATGTATGATGGATTTTTTTCTGTTACTGTCAGCCTATGTATTGGAAACACTAAATCTAGTGTCCGAGTGTTATATGTAGTATTACAATTGTTTGTGATAAATTGTGACTTATTTTTATAAAGATACATTATGCATTCATACAAATAAACAGCATATACAATGAGAATATTTTTTTCCCTAAACTTATTTCTACAAGATTCCCTAAAATCTAATTTATTAATTAACCTAAATGCTCTTTTTTGACATAGAAATATTTTTTCCAGATTTTGGTTATTTCCCCAAAAAATTATTCCATATTTGAATACTGACTCAAAATTTGCAAAGTATAATGTCCTTAGTGTCTGGTTATTTAAATATCGTGATGCAGTTCTGATGGCAAAACATATCTTATTCAATTTTTTTGACAGTATTTCAGTATGTTTGTAGTAGTTCAAGTATTTGTCTATATGTACTCCTAAAAACTTTGCGAAATTTTCTATTCCAAAACTATCTGATTGGAGGTTCAATGAACTAATTTTCTCTTTTTAAGACTGTATTGTATCAAATAATAGCAATTTAGTTTTTTTTTTTTCATTGAGAATTAATTTATTTTCATTGAACCAGGATTTTATTTTGGAGAATATTGCATTTGCTTTATGTTGTATATCTTGTGCAGTTGTAGCCCCAGTCAATAGGTTGGACTTGGTAAGACTTAACTAAGCAGTAGGCAATTTTTTAGTTAAATTGAAAACGCTTCCGCGGAATCCACCTTTTCAAGACACCTTTTTTCAAATACAACCTCAAAATAAAAGAATCGTTCAAGACCATCAAATTACAAATGCAACGAGCCTTGAGCCTCATATTAGACAAAAAAAAAAATTATGTCATGAAGAAAATTCAAGGGCACAAGCCTACATGAAGACAGACAGATCCGAGAACTCAAGTTTAAATTCTTCAGGAACAAATGCCAACCCAAGGGCGAATCTGAGTCAAGAATTAATATTATTAGGGGAAACAACTAATTTTCCAGAGGACCAATAAGTTGATGCAGGATAAACAACTCGATCATGAGGAATGGCTTAAATCAAATGGAACTGAGTACCTAAATAACTCAATAATGAAAAAGAGATCAATCTAGACTAGACTAGAGGAAGAAATAATAATAATACGGTAACTGAATGGCATGGAGAGGTACTGTCCGCCCAAGTTAAGAACACCGGTTGAAGGAATGTGAAGAATTTAAGTTCATTGGCAACATAGTTGTCACGTACATTCACTACAAAAAAAAGGCGTTTAATAATTGTTAACACATAACAATTACTTATTGAACGCCTAATTTTTTTGTAGTGAGTGTACGTGTCAACTATGTTGCCAATGAACTTAAATTCTTCAAATTTTTTTAACCGGTGTTCTTAACTTGGGCGGACAGTACGTGGGCGTGATCGATCCGATAAGCAACTACAGTCACGCCTCGGGAAAAAAGTTAGTTTTCTGGCAGACTAACGGTAAAAGTTAGTATATTTTTTAGTTATTTGATATCCAAAGCCGCGTTGACACTTATTATACTCCTACGCCATGTTGAAAGTGTATTCTCTTTGGAAACATGGTCCCGGCCATTGAAATTTGCTGCATTACCAGGTATAAACAAATGATTGTAAAGCCTTTTTTAGTTTTCTAGGAACCATTCATACCCATCCCATTTGCATCAAAACATTCTGCCACCCAATCTAGCCATAGCCCGGAAACCTGACCAATCAAATTCGCTGTGGTTATTTTGGGTGGCATAATGTTACTACATGCGCTGCATCAGGAGTCAGAATGTCGGGACGATGATCGCGCTATTCAAAGGGTCAGAAAGTTACAGGCGATAGAGCATTAGTATTAAATTTAACAAACAATGGTTGATTTTAAAAATTCATAACTGTCTTTTGTACGTGTCATACAATTCAGAAATTTAGATTTTATTTGTGTTCCCTATGCTTTTTTTTATGAATATATTGATTAAATTGTTAGTTTTTTGATTGAAACGGAGAAATTGAGAAGTATATCTAGTCTAGGAGGCAGTGACGATTTTTGGTACTTATTTTCCCAGTCACGAAACATGGATAGAATTGTAGGATTAGTAATTCTAAGCAAAATTCATATATATTTAGGGGGGGGTTTCCGATGGGTTGAGGCACAAAATGCATTAGAGCTTACGAATGCACGGCCCTTTTTTTTTCCAGTGATCAAAATAGCTTTACTAATGAGAAGTATACTGAAGTTACATAAATAAATAGTCCGGCTAATCTGTGAGTATGGATAATTCGTCTGGCAAGTGAAAAATTGAAGATCTGAAAATCTTCAGCCAGACTAACTTTCCACCATCTGAGATAAGCCAAATTGCTATGATCATATACTTTATGTTCTATTGTAGTAAATGTAAAATATTTATGACTGGGAAAATAAGTATACTTGTATTTTTCAGTGATCTTGTGAACCCATCCGAAAATTTTTGCGAAACTCACATATTCTTGTTTTGTATCACCATGAGAACAAACTATTTAATATACTCCAACTGGGAAAATAAGTGCTTATTTTTGCAATTTCACTGCCTCCTGGACTAATCCATTTGGATATAAATTTAGATTTTGCAAAATCTGAATACTTAATAATTAAAAATTTAAGTTCTAAATATTGAAAGACTATTAGGTACACGTTGAGGTACATGCATTTTTCGTTTTAATTGAACTAATAGACACAAATCTTCTAGAACTTTGGGCAGAAGTGCCAAATTGTGTATGAGTTTTCTTCATCAAATTGATAAGTGAGGCAAAAAATATTCACAAGTAGGTTTATCAACTTCGACGATGCGTGGCAATACTCCCCGTAGTTTTGAGATACAGCCCACAGTTTCCAGAAAAGCGATACAATCATGATACAATATGTTGATGTTTATCTTCCTTTATTGTTGTTTTTGATAAATTTTCACAAATAGATTAAAAATTGTGTCAAAAATGAATATATTGGATTAGTGTATCTTCCAATTTATTTAATTATTTCTAAAATTTGATCCCTCTATACCTAGATAAGCTACGCCCCCTGACCTGCTCCTCCGAAGTATTTTTTAGGGTACACAGGATGCCAAAATATACCATAAGAAATTGGAATTTAACTAAATAAGTCCCATAATATTCTAGAATTTTCCTAATAGGTACCTACTAGTGAATTTAACAAAATTTAGCTTTAAAATCGAAATTTGACCACCATTTTGAAAACTATAAAAGTTTTTAAAAAAATATTTAAATTGACTTCAGCGATATAAAATAAATATAAAATAACATACAGGGTAGGGTGTCCTTTCGAAAACGGGAAAAGATAACGTGATGCGGTTTGTTCTGGGAGAATAAGAATTTAAAAAAAAAAAAATCACATTATTGCCGATTCCTAAAATTTGCTGAAATTTGGTTCTACAGACATGCGATTTTTTGAAATAAAATGACTGCCTTATTTTTAATGAAACACCCTGTATATTTTGTTATCGTCAGAAAGTCCGATTTTTCTACTTTACAAAAATGTATATTTTTTTTCAATTATCTTGAACTTGCATCGTGAAAATTGAACTTTGTCGAAGAGAATACCATCGACAAAACAGGAAAAAATTGGGAATTAATTTGTGTTCAATGCTTTTATTAACTAATTAGCGCATAGTTAACTAATAATACAAGTAATAAATACAAATAAGTGCATATAAATCACAAATGTATTATCTTTTTTTTTTGGCCAGTCGATGGTACACTCTTCAACAAAGTGCAATTTTTACGATTCAATTTCATGATAATTAAAAAATATTTTACATTTTTGTAAGGTAGACAAGTCACACTTTCTGACGATGACAAAATATACCGGGTGTTTCATCAAGAATAAGGCAATATGTTATTATTTCAAAAATCGAATGTCTGTAAAACCAAATTTCGGGATTCCTTAATACCATGAAAAAAAACTTTAAAAAATTCTTGTTTTTCCAGAATAAACCGCATCTCGTTATCTTTTCTCGTTTTCGAGATATTCACCTGTAAAATGTGTTAGTTTATCTAACACCCTGTATATTACTCGCCCGCATTCGTTGATATTTAATATTTATTTGCAAATTCAACCCCCTTAGAGTATACTCCGTCCTGGGGCCTTATTCTGTAAGAACGACGTCACTTTCGGTTTGGTACCGCGAAAACCAAACCAAAAATGACGTCACAATCGAAGAAATTCTACCGAATCGAACGGTTCGTTCCTTACAGAATAAGGCCCCTGAGCTGCTCCATAGGGATATTTTTTGGGTACTGCGGGCAAAATTTCTTAATTTGACCTATTTAAACTGCCTACCAAGTTTCATACTTTTAACACAATTTGCAGGGTTTTGGTCAGAATTGTCGTTAACCGCTAGGACTATAGTGCAAGGGTAGTGATTAGCTTTGTCAATAAGGATCTGTTTAACTTCAACCATTAATATTTGACAGTAAAGCATGCTACTTACCTACTACTACAACAACAAATAATATTTTCAAGAAATAGGGAGAGAATATTTTAGACTTACTATTTAAACTATCAGGTAGGGAGAATAAGAATCAATCAGTAGGCATAGTAGGTAATCAGTCCGAGATAGTCTAGAGTCGAAAAATGGTCATCAGTCATCAGATGTAAAAATCAAACCAGAAGAAGCCATTGACATCAGCGCTGAGCTGACAAAGAAATCAGATTTCCTTTTCTCTGGGTTCCTCCCATTTAAAGTGAGACAAACGATAACGCGTGTGGCTTCTTCTCGTTTGATTTTTACTCTATAAAATTCGTGAAGAGTTTGTATTATATATATTGGAATAATTTAGTGAAAGTAATGACAGATTCTCGGACAGATTGTAGTACATGCATACACGCACATGAAAATTTTGTAAAATATTGAATCAATTGATAAAGTAGTTAGGCGGACAGCTACAATACTATTAAAAATGGAAAAAAAATATTTAGTTTCAAATGATACAAGAGCCGAATTTATAAATTTTTATTAAAACAAAAAAAATAAGGCACTATCGTAATAATTACATTCTGGCAACGAAAATCCACACTTAACAATAGGCAGGTACGAAATAAACTAAACTGTTGGACAAAGAAGCGGAACAAACGAATTTTTAGATTAACTTGAAATTCCAATATTAGGGGAACCAAAAAAGATATCAATCAGCAGTTTACAAAAATTAACTTTTAAATTATGCAAACCACTCATTGATATCTTTTTAAGTTCACGTGATATTGAAATTTAAAGTTAAACTAAAAATTCGCTTGTTTTGCTTCATTTGTTCAGCAGTTTATATAGTATGATAAGAAAAGTTTCAAGTTTCAATTAACACGTTGATATTCAAAACTTCTACTTTACTTAATTCTGAAACTAAAATACCTAATTAGAATAAGTGTTGAAATTAAAGAAGGTGCATGGTGCAATATAACTAAATAATTTTAATTGAGTTAATAGAGTCTTAAAATAAGAACAATAAAATAATAATACATAGTTGATTGGGGCACAAGCGCTGACCCCCATAAAACATCAAACATTTGATTTTTCTAATGGAACTATTTTGCTAACTTCCTTTTCGTTCCTTTCTTCCATTTTTTATCACCCTCTTTCATTCCTATTCCATATCTAGCACAATAAGCATCCATATCATACTTCTTCCTCAAACTATAATCCACCATAAACCTAATCTTCCCAAATATCTCTCTTTCCCTCCAACCCTGATCGTGCACTCCACAAATCGACCACATAACCCCTACAAAGCCATTGGGACAATTTCCATCCAATGCAAAAGTGTCATTCAGCCACAAAGCAAATTCCAAGGCTTCTTCGGGCGATTTGGTCCATTCCAAGATTTTCTTACACCAATACATTCGCATGTAGCCATGTATTTTTCCTTCTTTTAATGCTTGAAGTTGAGCTGCATTCCACATTTCATCATGAGTTTGAGATTTTTCTAATTCTTCTCGTGTATAAGTGTAGGTACGTTTATCAGATTTGTGTAATATAAGTGAGCTTTTAGCCCAATCAGCTGCCCCTTCAATACTATCATAGTTTTTATTGTAGAGGCAATAATTTTCAGCTAGTTCCTTACGGACAATTAATTCTTCAAGATATTTTTCCACTTGCTCTTTATAAATTGATTCAAGGCTTTTAGTTTCTAAGGCAATACGTTGAGCTGATATTTGTCCAAAAGTAATCCAATATGATAAATTTGATGTGTGATTTTTAGATGGGTCATTGCTAGTTACTCCATAATGCTTGAGGCCATTTTGAAGAAATTTGTATAAGGCTTCTAGACCTTCATTAGAACCTGCTTTATTGCTTACAGGCTCAACTTCCCAAAGAGTTTCAATAAGATTTGAAATTTCATCATTATCTAACTTATTAAGGCATTTGACTTGTATTTTTTCCGTATGAGGATGCTTAAAAACTTGAGGATATCCTGTTAAATATTCAGATAGTTTTTTATTGATTTTAGGTCTCAAAGTTCTAGCCATATGTTCTTGTTTATCGGAAGCTATCCATGCAGGGACAATATTATGAGCATCAACTTGAACTAATGGTACATCCCCTGGTAAGTTTTTTAATAAGATATCTATCCATTCTTTAGGTTTTCTCAGCGGACTAAAATCACAAACAACACCCCCTAGTTTATTGTCAGCAACAATTTTGGCTAAATCTTTTGGAGATTCTTTAATAAGGTAAAATGGTATATTAAGCCCGGTTAATTCTTGTTCAACTTGCCTCAAACCATCAATTAAAAACTGCTGATGTCTTCTTGTAGGATGCAGCAGGTGAGTCTCGAATAAACTAAAGCAAACCATCAAGGGTATTTTATTTCTGAGGGCCAAACGTTGAGCAAACAGCATTGCCCAATTATCTTGCACTCTGCAGTCTCTTATCATCCAGTAGAGTACACCTTTGGAGTTTGAAGCGATGTCCTTAGTTTTCGATAAGACACGGCATCGTGATTTATTGAAGGCAAAGTTTTCAATGCTTTCTGCTTGAGATTTTCTTGATTTGATTATTTCATCTAGGAATTGTTCTTTGGTCAACGAGCTCAAAGCTAGTTTGCTCTTGAAGTCGCGGGGTTTTAATGATGCCATTGTGAAACTAAATTAACTATTAAATTTTGTTTTTTAAATCATTTTTTAGAATATTAAAATATTTGGAAAATATTCAAATTTCGAATCAAAATAAAAATATAAACAAACAAACGTCAATGGTTAATGTCAAATTCGTCGTTTTGGCCAAGGATAATCCGTACGTTCGGTATTTTGATCTGAGTTCTCCGAGCTTAAATTTATGGTTCGTTTATTTAAAACCCTTTTTAAATAAACGAACCATAATGCTCGGTCATCGGTGCAGTGCAGGCTCATGCTCATTCTCGTTTGTTTATTATAATTTCGAGAGCTTTGGTTCTGATACAGCGTTTAACCAAGGTTTAACTGCTCTCTCTCTCTGTGCGCTCGCTGGTCACGTGATTACTGCTCCCCTTCAGCACGCTCTGCTTCTGCTCTTTGAGCAAAATACCGAACGCAAACTATAGCTCTGAGCCGCTTTCCAGTATGGGAGTGTGACGCCCGGAGCTACTCGGGGCGTTGAGCTCTCGAGCTGTACGTACGCGTCAACATGTCAGCTGTCACATCCGTGGGTGGCTATTTATCTATTTATTTCTTGTTATATCGCAAGATTGAACATTTTAAAAAATATAGTTTTGATTCTCTTTCATTTTTGATAAATAAAAAAACAAACTGCACAAACAAAAAGATAATTATTTTTAAAATTTGACATATTTGACACTAAGACAGGCGTCTCACGCCATGATACTGGAACGGTACAAATTTAGTGCGTGGCGCCCCTGAGGTGCTCTAGAGCGCGCCAGAGCGCCCCAATGTGCATACTGGAAAGCGGCTGTTCGGCTATTCAGCACAGAGTTGGAGTGGAGTAAGAACAGATTTTTGTCACGTGATCTAGGAGTGATTAGAGCTTAGAGCAGGTAAAGCGCTGTCCTACGGACATAAGGAGTAGGAACGCGCCATTCTGCTTATGAAACTAAGTTTTTGGCAGGGGTTTGGCACCAAAATACAGGTAGAGCCTTAGAGCAGGTAAAGGTAAAGGAGTAGTAACCTGGATTTGGAAAATGAAGCCGTTTTTTTGTATTTTGGCCCACAAAAAATGGCGGATGGCGGTTATGGCAATTCAATGCTTTACCTGTATTTTGGTGCCAAACACCTGCCAAAAACTCGGCTTCACTTTAAAGCAGAATGGCGCGTTCCTACTCCTTATGTCCGGTAGCTTTACCTTCTCTAAGGGTAGAGCATTGAATTGCCATAACCGCCATTTTTTGTGGGCCAAAATACCTGGAAAAAAACGGCTTCATTTTCCAAATCCAGGTTACTACTCCTTTACCTTTACCTGCTCTAAGGATTAGAGTGAAAAAATAATATTTTACACGAACGACCGGAACGGTTTGAGCAAAATGTTAACAGTCAACCACAGCAGTCAACCGTTATTTTACAATTTTCCAGTTTCCATTTTTTTTTTTTTCAATTTGGTCTTTGGTCTTTCGTTTACTATAAATTAACTTCAATTCCTCCACAATAATGAATAATATGATGCTTTTGCCTCTGTTTAACTTTGTCAGGGCAGGGAAATTTTTCTATTATGTTTAATACATTTTTAAATCAGATCAATTATTTTTTACTCGATGATTTTACCAATTTCCGCATCCACACATATTTGAATGATTTTTATAATTTTTCAACATCAATTGTGTACACCAGTTTTCTGACGTCAGCGTCAGAAAACGGACGTATGTCATGCCTGAACCAATGACGACGTTTACGTTGACAGTTGTGCGTCGCGTACTATCCTAAAGGCCGTTTTACAGCTTGCAAGAAAACTTGAATGCAATTTGTTGCATGCAAAAAAATTGCATTCAAGATTTCTTGCACATCGTTTTACACCTTGCAATTTGACTTGTTTCCTTCTTTAACCTTAACAATACTTTTTTGTTTTTAATATTGTGTTGTAGATGTTTGCATTTTCCAAAAATAAAAAAAGTGTTTATAAGTTGATATAAAAAGAAGAAAGCAATAGCAGCAACTTTAAACATCATAATTGCTGAAAATTCGCAAGGTTGCACGAAAACCTTCAAGAAAAATGGCACCAAACCGATTGCGTGCAATGCCATTCAAGTTTCAAGAATCTTGCAGAAACCAATCAACTGACTCACTTCTGCGCATGCCCCCTTTCAAGTTTCTTGCGATAGAATTGCAAGCTGTAAAACGGCCTTAACAAATCGTACCTTTAACTCTAAAAAATTCTCTTTCCGAGGTGGAGCTCCATTTACTCCACTCCATATAGTCGAACCCTAATACACCACAAAACAATACCCGAACGGCTGGGGTGCGAACTGAGTCACTCGGAGTGCACGGAGTAAGCAAGCCGAACCCACCAAATAGTACTACGGATTGCTCCTCGGCCTCGATATTTGGATTCAAGCTCTTATGGTGTTGCACCGTTCCTGACGCCATCAACGGTGTCGTTAGCTGATTGCGCCAGCGGTCGTAGCGTAATTTTATGATCAAATACTAAAATAGTATAAGAATATTGTACAACAAGTGTTGAAAATAGCACTTTTTGCACGCAAAGAACGTTTGAAAAGTACTTTTCGCAAGTTGTGTGGAATAATTGATTTTTTAGGCAAGTTAGTAAGTGCGTTTTTGATAGCAGTAGTAGAAAAATATTTAATTTTAATCAATAAATAGGCAATAGGGCAATAGGCAAGAGGCACAGGAAGATGGAAACGTGATCTAAAAAAGTGTTGTTTTAGAATGTTAGCTAATTAATGTATTAAAACCAAGTATACGTAGACTGAAGACACAATGGGTACATTCAGGCGGTCCCAGCCTCTCCAGCAGGAACTTTATTCTCAAAACCAAGGAACAGCGTTCTCATAAGAACGGTTACTCTGTCATTGTCAGTGTTATGCCAGACGACAAAGACAGAATCTTCGTTCCAATGAGAACGCTGTTCCTTGGTTTCGAGAATAAAGTTCCTGCTGAGAGGCTGAGCTAAGGGAGAATTCTCATGAGCGTAAGTTGACATTTCTGGCGTAATCACGTGATAATATAGTATAATTTGATTGGTAAAGTATCCAACATGGCAAATATTTTACCAATAAAACCCAACCATTTTATCACGTGATTACGCTAGAAATGTCAACTTACGCTCATGAGAATTCGCCCTAAGCCGCTGGGACCGCCTGAATGTACCCAATGACCAATTGCTCAATCGGCTAAATTTGTTCACAATTGCTGTGACGTCACGTGCATGCCGGATTTTCAAGATGGCCGCTGATATGAATGATGTTCAGTTTGTGCTGACTGCTGACAATTATTTTATCGTAAATTCGGATTTATCTAGTGTTTTGCTAGTGTTATAAGTGTAAATTTAAAGTTTCATTTAATGTGTAAGCATAAAAGACTCGTGGCTGAAAATACTTAGTTGTAAGTTTCCTTTGCATGTAATTACTAATAAAAATTAGTGTTTGTGAAGAGTGAATAAATAAATATGTAAATAAATTTCTTTACTGGCGCGTTTACTATGAAAACGCTTGGAAAATATGGGAAACTTGCAGTGTTTTTCTGGAATATGATTATGAGAATCTAAATTAGGTACCTATCACTATTTGGCTTTGTGAAATAAGCTTACTTTGAATGTCCATATTAAATCGTTCTAGTACCTATTAAACTAATGAATAATAATTGAGAAGTACCTAGGTAGGGGCAGTAAAAAATAAAACACACTATTGCAACCCCGTTTCGCTTATATTTTGATATTGAAATGCAAAAATTAAACCGGCTCGGCACCCCACATTTGGTTTTCTACTGTTTCTCAACTGTAGTCAATTGTGCCCGTTTTGTGCTCAATTGTGCCAGTATTTATGCGAATTGTGCTCATTTTCATACACAAAAAAAACATTGAAACGAATCCGGGGGCCAGCTTGACTCCAGCCTTTCGTTTTTTTGACTTTTTGGCAATATGTTTGGCTAATTGATAAACAAAAGCAAACAAACTCGTCTTTCTAATTAGCCAACCACTCAAGCCTCAAGGACACAAGCTTTTGAAGTCTGCTAATTTTAAAATTAATAAATTAATTACAAAATACAGTTTTCAAAGGAAATAACCTCAAAATAACAATTTTTCACGTTTGAAAATGCAAGGATAGTGCACTGTCATAAAAAACACAAACCGATCAAGGACTGCGTGACGTCATTCGCATACCGCCATCTTCGATGTTTTTATGAACGTTTGTCTTATGGGATTGAGCAATCCTGTGCTGAGATTCTAAAATCACGATTCGACACACGATTCGACACTCGATACCGGCCCTGTCGTCTCGAAAGGTATGATTCCAATGAGATTCCATAACCTAGAATCGTCGGAAAAAGGTCTCGTTATCGAATCGTGTGTCGAATCGTGATTTTAGAATCCCCGAGCTGTAAAGTTTACGATTCTTGCCCAATGACAAATACATGTGACAAGAGAGAAAAATGGAGTCTCGTTTTGTTCTCGCCAGAGTGTGGTCGGTTGGTTTAAGGAGCTCCAAGAGCTTCACCGGGTGGCGCACTAGAGGCGTGTAGAGACAAAATTTTGGCGCATCTCCGAGTAAAAACCGAGATACATCGCCATCCGTGGATTTGTTGCGACTTTTTTTTTACTAAGCCGGCTAGAAATAAACAGAAAGTTCACACGTGAAAACGTTGGCAAAATGACGGCCAGAGTCTAAAGGCGAATTCTCATGAGCGTAAGTTGAGATTTCTGGCGTAATCACCTGAATATGGTGTTATTTGATTGGTAAAATATCCAACTTGTCAAATATTTTTCCAATAAAACCCAACCATTTTATCACGTGATTACGCCAGAAATGTCAACTTACGCTCATGAGAATTCGCCCTAAGGCTGGCTTCTCATGAGCGTAAACTTGACATAACTGGCGCAAATGCTGAATACGTGAATTTTGGCGCAACATTCACATGGAATGGAGAATTTACGCCGCCGCGTATGTCAAAATTATATTTTTTTCCTAAATTTTGAA